TTCACCACTCATTATTATACTATTGTAATATATCAAAATTCTATATACATCTATATTGTTTCCACATCACATTATAATTATTATTTTGTACAGTTGATATTCACTTGTATTCACTCTCATATATTTGCTTACTCTATTATTCCTCTTCCTCTTTGCATTTCTATGTCTTTACCCAGCATTTCTTGTCTGAGAACATCTTTATTTTCAGCCTCAGTTTTGAAAAACTGTGGACTGGTAAATAATTATAAATCAATAGTTATTTTTTTTTATTTTTAAAGATGTCAAAATCTTTTGTTTTTGATGAGTCAGACCTATTATTACTCCACTGAGAGTAATGTCTTTTTTTTTTTTGTAATTATATTGAAAACTATTTTCTGCCCTTTTCTCCCCAACAGTTTCTCTATGATGTGTCTATCTGTGATTTTCTTTTTATTTATCTTTCTTTGTGTTTGTGTTTGCTGTGCTTTTTTATCTATAGGTTGACTTGTATGGATTCTTAGTTAAAAACAAATTGTATCCATTATGTCTCTGCATATCGTTTATGCCATTTTACCATCTACTCCTCCTATGCCTCAGATTAAAAAATATGTTAGACCTTTTATGCATGTCTCCAATATTTTGTGATTGCTTTCCTCACTGCTTCCATTTTGTCTGTTCTATTCATCTGTCTTCACATTCACTAACCTTGCCATCCATTGTGCCAAAACTCTTATTAAAACTCTTATTAAAAAGACTGAGCTATTGATTTCAGTTACTGTACTTTTATGTTTTAGAATATCCTTTAGTCCACCTCTGGAGATTCCAAATCTTGGTGAATGTTTCAACATCTTCATCTATACTATCATTTCTTTCCTTTACTTTTTTGAACATTTTAATAACAATTATCCGAAATCTTTTCTACTAATTTCAATATTGGAGTCATCTGACATCTATTGTCTGGTTTCTTTTCTCTTTGACATTATCTACAACGTCTTGTGTGCTCACATATGTTGTAAATTAGGGTTTTATGTCCATCATATATCAAAAGAACTGCAGACTCTTTAGAAAATCTTTCAACCTCAAGAGGCCACCCTCTCCATATTTAACAGATGCTATGGGGTTTAATTTTTTCAGGGTCAACTCCTTAAGATCAAGATTTAAACTGCATTAGTCCTGGGCTATAATTGTATAGGACTCAATCTACTTCTGGGTCTCCCCTGTTGTTAAAGTGTGGTTCTTTCAAACTTTCAATCATCCACCTTTTGAGCATTTGCTTCTTCAGGTCTGTAACACTGCAAAGATTCCATTTTATCACTGAGAGACTTTAGTTTATCTCTTTAGTCATCTGCCACAGGTAGATTCAAAATAAGACAAACATTTTTAAAGAGGAGACTGGCCATGAAATTAAAAGCCTTTAAGTCTCCAATATTCTCTCTTTGATCTACACTAAATGCAAAATATTCTTGTGGTTTCAGTGTTCTGGAAGAGCAGCATTTTCCAAGAGCTAATCCTAGGTTCTCAGCTTCTAGCTCTGACTGGAACTGATAAATGTGCCCCAGGGAAAAGCAGCTATAGAAACTGTGTCAATTCATCATTTTCTGTAGGGGTTTTCCATCCTTGCCAGTTTTATTTTCAAGCTCCTCCTTTTAGAGAGTTTTTGTCTTAAGCTCTTGAAAGTCTGTGATAAACTTCTTTCCACTTTCAGAGACTTTTGAATCATTTTATAGCATCTAACACTGTCTAAAATTCAGCAAATACCTTGTATTAAAACTGAACTTCTTTAGGTCCATCAGATCTAGAATTTTGTCACTCCGATGTCCACAACCACTGAAAGTTTTGCAGGTTTATCTTTCTTCCTTCAGCCACTCTTTGAGTGGCTAAATGCACAGTCCTCAGAGTCTACTCTAAATCAAGAACTGTCAAATGTTCACAGAACTAAGTAAATTAGTGAATAAAAGAACGGAAGGAAAGAAGCAGGGAGGGAGGGAGGGAGGGAGGGAGAAAGGGAGGGAGAGACGGAAGGAGGAGGGAGGAGGGGAGAAAGAAAGGAGGGAAAGAAAAATGTGAATCGCCAGCTTATACCTCTGGTCAGAAATTTTATTTCAGTTAGTTTTGTTGCTTTTGTGACCTACTACATGCGTAAAAATATAATTTAAAAAATTATTTACCTTCCTAGCACTATCAATGGAAGTGCTGCCTTACTTCAATATACTACATTCTACCTGGAAACAAAATCCAAATGCTCTTTTGGTGATTTGTATTTTAATAAACTTTGCTTTAAAAAAATTTAATGTTTATTTATTTTTGAAAGACAGAGACAGATGCGAGCGGGGAGGGGCAGAGAGAGAGAGAGACACACACAGAATCTGAAGCAGGCTCCAGGCTCTGAGCTGTCAGCACAGAGCCCAATGTGGGGCTTGAACTCATAAACTGTGAGATCATGACCTGAGCTGAAGTCAGATGCTTAACTAACTGAGCCACCCAGGTGCCCTCTATTTCAATAAATTTCCAAGGCAAAATAAAAAAGTGTAGCATTCCTGTGTGAATTCCACAAATATAGAGAGGCCCAGAGGATTCCCTGATCTAACCTATCATACACTGTACTATGAAATGGAAGTTGTTCTTGTTTTTAATTTAAACCCAGGGAGACTATGGTATATTATAATTTATCTAAAAGTGCTGTATTCCATAATTATTTTTAAACATCAGATGGTATGCATGAATAAAACATTACAAATGTCTCAGGCATGGTATCTGAGTATTCTACCGGGAAAATTAGAAAGAAAAATTTGAGATTAGAAATTCATTAGGTTTATACCTAGATAGCTTATTGGTTTTGGTGCAATTATAAATAGGATTGATTCTGTAATTTCTCTCTCTGTTGCTTCATCATTGGTGTATAGAAATGCAACAGATTTATGTACATTGGTTTTGTGTCCTGTGATCTTACTAAATTTTTTTATCAGTTCTAGCAGGTGTGTGTGTGTGTGTGTGTGTGTGTGTGTGTGTGTGTGTGTGTAATCTTTTGGACTTTTTATAGAGAGTATCATATCATCTGCAAATACTGAAAGTTTTCCTTCTTCCTTGTTCATTTGGATGCCTTTTGCACTGTTGGTGGGAATGTAAACTGGTGCAGCCACTTTGAAAAACAATATGAAGACTTCTCAAAAAGTTAACAACAGAACTACCCTGTGAGCCAGCAAATTGCACTACTATGTATTTACCCAAAGAATAGAAAAATACTCATTCAAAGGGATACATGCACCTGAATGTTTATAGCAGCATTATCTACAAAGGCCAAATTATGTAAACGGTCCATGTGCCCATTGACTGGTGAATGGATAAAGAAGACGTTATACTCAGTCATAAAAAATGAAATCTTGCCATTTGCAATGACGTGGCTGCAGATGGAAATAAGTCAGTCAGAGAAAGACAAATAACATATGAGTTCACTCATATATGGAGTTTAAGAAACAAAACAAACAAATGGGGGAAAAAAAAGAGAGAGAGGAAGGCAAACCAAGAAACAGAGTCTTAGCTATAAAGAGCAAACTGATGGTTACCAGAGGGGAGGTAGGTGGGGGATGAATTAAACAGGTGATGGGTATTAAGGCGTGCGCTTGGGATGAGCACCCATTATTGTATGAAAGTGTTGAATCACTATACTGTACACTTGAAATTAATATTACACTGTATGTTAACTTAGTGGATTTTAAATTAAAACTTAAAAAAAGAAAAAATATATAAACTATAGAAAGAGAGATTCATAAGATTTTCCAACAATTTCAAGGGGATAAGGATCTTTGATTCTAAACAGTTCTTCCTGTCTATATAAATAGAAATATTTATATTTGAAAATATTTATAATTGAAAATTGTTACTTATTAAGCACTATTTTGATCAAAATATACCTCAAGAATTTCTAAATTCATCAATCCTTCCTACATTTATTTGCCTACCCTTTTATTTTATAATTTGGTGGTTCTATTCCACAAAAAGATGATGTTTTGTTGCAACCATCAATTGTATTGTTTCTTATCTGATGTTAGCTGTGGACTTGTCCTAGATGGTCTTTATTTTGTTGAGATATGTCCCTTCCATGCCTAATATGTTAAGTTCTTTTATCATGAATGGATGTTGAATTTTGTTGTCACTTTTTAAGTATGTTTGGCTAATCCAATCACCAGAAGAATTCTAACACTCAGTCCTATAAGTCTGGCCTCTTGGAAGTTAAAACCTCTTTTGCCCATTTGAAAGTTAGACATGCCCAACACTTTTGAGTAATTACTATACAATTATGCTCACCATAATCTAAGGATTTTTATTATTCTTTTATCTTGTATTATTATATATGCTTTTATCAACATTTTCAATTTTATATTGAGACATCCTTAATCTTTTATTAAAATTCAGTGCTTTATGAAATGAAAGCTATTACAGGCTATGTAATCAATAAGAAACAATATTGAAAGCACACATACACACTCATAAAAATTCAGATATAACAAAAACAAAAACCCACAAACATAAATCAAAATTGATTTAAATTTGATTAAAAAATAAAGAGTTCAGTGAAGGTGCACATTCATGAAATTCATGGTAATGTAAACAAGGTATAGGACAAACAAATGCTCTCTGCGTTTTTGCCTCACAAATGAAACCCATGCGCTATTAGAAAAGGCTAGAGATACATCAGGGAAATCAGATGATAAATTCTTATATTGAGAAAGGCAAAAGCTTTCTTTCTTAAATGACTAATACATGAGTTCAAGAGCAGGTTAGGTTCTAGTGCCCATGATACATAGCAATACACAAAGCACGATATGTTTTCAGTAAAATACAGAATCATTGGTAATAAAAGTGATATAGATGTCTATTTGAAGCAATAATAACAGAAATTAAATAAAAGGCTTTCCAATTATGTAATAGTTTCTTCCAAAAAGAAAGTAGCCATTTCAGTATAGTATTTTTTGTTTTTTATTTCTGACCAAGTTTAAGTGTTGCATTAAAACTTATCTTACCTGATTCCTCAAAGTCACCGTTGTAGGCTTTCCAGGTTTCAGTTATTCGAAGAAGATTCTCTTCCATGGCTTGAATGTCCATGGAGGGGCAGTTGCATTCTGGAAATTTGGGACCACATTGACACCAGCAATCATTGTCCTTGCAGATGAACTCTCCCTCTGAATTGCAAGCGATGTAGCTCAAAGCCGCTTGTACAAAACGCTCCTGAAGATAGTCTGGAAGGAGGACTTGCAGCCCTTAAAGAGCATAACATGCAAATAAGTTGTTTTTTGTTTTTTGACAAAGAAAAAAGGTATAACACATATTTAAAATCTTCAAAAAAGGCCAACAATTTAATATATAAGTCATGAATTTAAAGCAATCATTAGAGGGGCGCTTGGGTGGCTCAGTCGGTTGAGCGTCCGACTTTGGCTCAGGTCATGATCTCACCGTCTGTGAGTTTGAGCCCCGCATCAGGCTCTGTGCTGATGGCTCAGAGCCTGGAGGCTGCTTCTAATTCTGTGTCTCCCTCGCTCTCTGCCCCTCCCCCCTTGCGCTCTGTCTCCCTCTCTCTCAAAAAATAAACAAACATTTAAAAACAATTAAAAATAGGGGAGCCTGGGTGGCTCAGTCGGTTAAGCGACCGACTTCAGCTCAGGTCATGATCTCACAATTTGTGAGTTCGAGCCCCACGTCGGGCTCTGTGCTGACAGCTTGGAGCCTGGACCTGCTTCGGATTCTGTGTCTCCCTCTCTCTCTGCCCCATCCCCTGCTTGTGCTCTGTCTCTCTCTGTCTCAAAAATAAATAAAAACATTAAAAAAATTTTTTAAACAATCATTAGAAAATTATCTAAGCCAAAAAAGAAAGAGAAAAAAAAGAAAGAAAAAAGAAAGAAAATGATCTAAGCCTTCAAAATTGCAAATATTTGTAATTCTTTTCAACATGTGCTGATTCTGTGCACTGTCCAAGAATCTCAGAAATGATAGAAGTGTTTAATCCCTCAGATTACCTGATTTTTTAAAAATGTAATTGGCTCTTTGTTTCTTCATTTATGTAAAAAAAAGTTTTTAAAGTTTTCATTTTATTTTTTTATTTTTAATTTTTTTCTTTATATTTTATTTATTTTTGAGACAGTGAGAGACAGAGAGAGAGAGTGGGGGAGGGGCAGAGAGAGATGGAGACACAGAATCCAAAACAGGTTCCAGGCTCTGTCTGACCTGTCAGACCAGACTGAGCCACCCAGGCGTCCCTAAAATGTTCATTTTAATTCCAGTTAGTTAGCATACAGTGTTATATTAGTTTCAGGTGTACAGTATAGTGATTGAACACTTCCATACATCACTCAGCGCTCACGTCAACAAGTGCACTCCTGGAGCCCATCACTTATTTAACCCATCTCCCCCACCTCCAGTAACCATCATTTCGTTTTCTATAACTAAGAAAGAATCTATTTCTTGGTTTGTCTCTCTCTTTCTCTCTCTGCTCATTTTTTTTTGTTTTTTTAAATTCCACATATGAATAAAATTATATGGTATTTCTCTTCCTTTGTCTCCTTAACCTAATTGTTTACAATATTTAGTTATTTTTACATAATGTAGATAGAGCTTACCTTCCTATATCTTTAAAAAGAGATGCATTTATTTTCCACCACATGATTTCAAGTAGTTTTCAATATTTTCTTTTACTTTCAGACTATTAGCCCACATTTACATAGATATCACAAGACAATGGGTTGTGGCAATGGTAAAGGAGTTACAGAATGTTGATGATAATGCTTATCTCTTGTTATTAACAATGCATAACTTGTCCAACTCTGTTATTCAGGAGTGATCATTGAGACTACAAGGAAGCAGATGGACTGATTTCCATTGTTACACAGTTCATGTCCTTGCCATGTATTAAGACAGCTCTATGATATGATTCATTACTTGTCTACATGCAAGTTTAGTGAATTGATATCTCTGAGGAAAACATTCAAAAATGAAGATAAGTCTATATGATTAATATTTAGGGTTCTTTACTTGTTTAGTATTTATTATGATATTTCAAGAAAATAGTTTCAATTTCAGCCATCTTGTTACATAGGAAAATTTAATAAAAAAGGTAAATATTCAAAGTGATCAGTATATAAAAAGAAAAAGAAAAAGAAAAATCTGGCCAATACCTAATTGACATTTACTACAAAATTGGGTTTTACAATTATGTTTGTCTCTTTATCTATCTATCTACTTATCTATCCCTGCAAGAAGAAAACTGACATTCTGTAAAAAGTTTTTTGGGGGATGGGGAAGAAGTCTAGAGACAAATCACTCAAAACCTTTTTGAGTTTTTTAAGGCTCTCCTGGGGATTTTTTTTTTTTTAATGTACAGGAAAAATAGAGTAAAAACACCAAAATACTAATTACAGAAGGTCTACTTGGCACTGAGCCATTGCTTAAGGAAGCTGAGTTCTGAGCCCAGAATGTTCTGTTAAAGGGAGCATATGAAACAGGGCACTGGAAATTATAAATGATAATCTAATGGAAATTCTGCAAACTGAAGTTAAGAAATAAGTGATGGACTAATAGCAGGCTAGAAATAGTTAAACAGATAATAAGCAAACTGGAATATGTCATAAAAATATTGAATACAAAGTAGTAAAAAAAAAGGCAAAAGAATTTAAAATACAGAAGACAGTATAAAAGATATATAGGTCATAACTAAAAGGTCTAAAAATATATTTAGTGGAACCCCAGAATAAGAGGTAAGAAGGAAAAAAGCAATATTTGACGAATAAATATATTAAAAATTTTTCAAAATTGATGAGACACTAAGAAAGCTGTAATGTGCAAATATATGTTCTGGCAAGGCAAAATATACTTTCTGGCAAGACAAGCAGCAAAGTGAAAATGACCAGCTGACTAGTGCTCTTCAATGCTGTTCACCCAAAATAGCGTGAAAAACTAAGAAATTCCTTGGACATTATCAAGTTGCCATCTAAAATTTTCATCACATATTAAATAAACCAAGAGTAGCAATTTGTTGCATTATAAATATTTCTCTCTTGGGGCACCTGTGTGGCTCAGTCTGTTAAGCCTCCAACTTGACCAGGTACATGATCTTCTGGTTCATGAGATCAAACCCCTCAATGGGCTCCATAGTGAGAGTACAGAGCCTGCTTGGGATTCTCTCTGCTCTGTCTGTCCCTCCCCCAGCTTGTGCTATCTCAAAATAAACACAAAAGCATTAAACAAACAAACAAATAATTCTATTTTAAAATAAAAATATTACATTGTATTTCCTTATGTAACAATGGACTCTTGTCCTGGCAATTTGGGATCTAATAACATCTACTAGAAAGAATTTATGAGTGAGGTGTGTGTATGTGCATATGTGTTTGTTAATTCATTTCACGATCCCTACATATTTTTGTTCTAATATATATTCACTAATAAGCATCTTTCCTGACCTCAGTCACATATCACTGCTATGAAAATAAATAATTGATGATGTGTATATATTTTACTGACAAGTAGAGATAACATAAAATTTTATGGCATAAATTATACAATACATGCTTTTCTTTTGTTTAACTTTTTAAGTTTATTTATTTATTTTGACAGTGAAAGAGAGAACACACAAGCAGACGCGGGACAGAGAGAGAGAGAGAGAGAGAGAGAGAGAGAAAGGGAGAGAGAGAATCCCAAGCAGGCTCTGTTCTGTTAGCACAGAGCCCAGCGCCAGCTCAGACTCACAAACCCTGAGATCATGACCTCAGCCAAAACCAAGAGTCAGATGCTTAACCGAGTGAGCCACCTGCACCTCAATATGTACTTTTCTAATAATGAAAATCTTCAAGCTAAAGAATGTTAACTCTCGATGTAATCATTATAATTACTGGTAACACACAACTCAGTAGATTTAAATTTAGTACATGTATTGATAAATAATCTTTAAAAACAAATGTTACCATCTTATTGAAAACACAGGATTTTAATGACTTGATAGGGTTTTAGTGTTCATTAGTTTATGGGTTTTTTGGCTAGAAATATATGTTAATAAAAATCATTTTCCTGCTTTTCATCCTTATATATGTTAAGCTCTAAGAAATCTATTCCAGGGAAGTGGGCTGGCATCCAAGCCCCTGCCAATGCGAATCTGGTGGGAATGGGAGCCATCAGAACGGCCACCATGACTGTGGACAAGAGCAGCACGATGCTGCAGTACCTCGACTACAGGATAAGGTGCACCCCTCAAGACTCCCGTATCTTCATTGGCACCTTCAAGGCTTTAAACAAGCGTGTGAATCTGATCCTCTGTGACTGTAATGAGTTCAGGAAGATCATGCCAAAGAATTCAAAACAGAAAGAGAAAGAAGGAAGTCCTTCATCTGGCACTGCTTGGGGAGGAGAAACTGGTCTCAATGCCAGGAGAGGGACCTCTTCCCAAAGATACTGACATTATCTGAGTGACACCTGCTGGAGCTGCCAGAGGCCCAGGGATTAGCAGAACTGATGACAGAGGAATCCTAGGTGGTGTTCCAATGCCCCACACTCCTGCAGGACTTTCTGTGCCCAGCTGAGGGGTTGGTGGGCCAGCCCAACAGGTGATGACCCCCCCAAGGAAGAGGCATTTAGGTTGCTGCAGTTGCTGCTATAGCCAGTATTGTCGGGGTCCCAACCCAGTATCCACCTGGCTGTGGTGTCCTTCCCCACCTAAGGGCTGAGAGGAACCCCCTCCAGGCATGATGGACCCACCACCTGGCATGAGGATTCCCATGGGTCCCACAGTGAGGATCCTCATTGATGAGGAAGTCCAACGAGCATGCCCCTTTCAGGATGCAACAGCCTTCCAGGGGGATGAGATGCTTTCTTTGACCTGTGGCCACAGAGATATGGATGTAGTCCACAAAGGCATGGGCCCGACTGCCCAGGGCCAAGTTACCACAGGCCTGTTTGTTTGTTATGCCTTTGTTCTCAGTCTCATGAAGTTGTCTGGTTTCCCTTTGGTGGTCTCCTCCCCCAGGAATGCGCCCACCAAGGCCCTAGACTGTTCTTGCCCTCCTCAGCTCCCTGCCTGTTTCCTGTAATGCTGTACATAGTCCTTCTATTTCCTTATGGCCTGTGAAACTAGTTTCTAATAAACTCTTAAGAATATTTAAAAAAAGAAAAAAGAAAATTTGTTCCAATACATCAATAAATAAAGAAAATAGCAAATAAAACAGTTTTATGAGGCAATATCATTAAATTTTTACTATAAGCAAAACAAAAACAAAAACAAAACAAAACAAAACAATTATAGTGACCTACCAATAAATCTCCTATTTGATAATAAACCAGTCCTCTGTCAATTTTGTTGAAATAAAACATTAAGAACCAACTGATCTGGAAAAGTATTTGTTACTCAATCATATGAATCATTCACATCTCAGTTTCTGGGAATTTTACCAAAAAGTTATTACCAAGACTTAATAAATGACTTTTCATTACTCTTTTACCCTTTCACTCAGAAGTACTTTGATATGTTAAATTAGCCAGGCGTTGGAAACATTGGAATGTTATTAATATATTAATATGAATATATTAATGTTAGTATATTTATTAACACTTTCTTATGAGTTACTCTTTGTCATATATTACATGTATCATCATCAATAATTTGGAGTTGCAGGTATGGCTTTTTCAAGTTTTGAAGTGTCTGTTTGTAAGCTAACCGGTGAAGCCAGATCTCGAGGACAAACAAGCAGGTAAACCTAGCTTCCTCACTGCCAGAAAACATTTGATTTCACTTTTTTTAGGTCAAAATTAATGTTCTGTGTGCATCTCTTTGACATCTCATTTCAGAATGTTCATTCTAATATAGTGAGGTCATGTAGTTTTGTTCTGAATTTGTTGCCTGATGCTTTTACCTTGAATAATTCTTATTGATGCTTTCCTTGCTCTGATGAAATTCTACTTCGAGACACCAGTGTTTCCACTTGTCAAATATAGTGACCTAAAATCTTTTATACATATCAAAGGAATGTATCCTGGGAATGTTGATCCAGAATCAACTAATGCTTTGTTGTTTTTTTTTTTTTTTTTAAGTGGAAAAGCGCTGCTATTAATGGTGAGGTTGAACAAGTAAATCAACATAAATACTCAGACTCTCAATAAAGATGAAGTCTGAGAAAGAACACATGGGGAGTTGAGGATTTTGATATTAATTTCCTGAAATTATCTTTGGAAAGGTCTTGGCACCACAAGGGTACACATAAAGTTGTGGCAGACAATTGAAAATAGAGGCCTGGAAAATAGAAAAGGTGAAAAATAGAGACACAGGTTTCTGCATTACTCACAGAAATGGTAAAAGGTTGAAACAATAATTATTCAAAAAAGAAGTACTGCTTCACTTATTCATGTGCGAATTGTTTTTCAAGACAGATAAGAGATTGAAGCTTTGCTTTTATAATATAATACTCTAAAAACTAAGCACAGTGACTCACAAATAAAAAAAATAATAACTCATGTTAATAAATACATTTTAATAATAAATCAATAAACATATGTCATATAAATATTCCAAATCCTTTTCTTTTTTTTTTTTTTAATTTTTTTTTCAACGTTTTTTATTTATTTTTGGGACAGAGAGAGACAGAGCATGAACGGGGGAGGGGCAGAGAGAGAGGGAGACACAGAATCGGAAACAGGCTCCAGGCTCTGAGCCATCAGCCCAGAGCCCGACGCGGGGCTCGAACTCACAGACCCCGAGATCGTGACCTGGCTGAAGTCGGACGCCCAACCGACTGCGCCACCCAGGCGCCCCTCCAAATCCTTTTCTATTAAACTTAATGCTCTGATGACAAGTTAATCCATACATTAGAAAAGAGTAAGCAGTAGAGAATTACATGTGATATCAGTAGAGTACATTTGTTTAAGTAAGAAAAAAATATTTCAATAACTTTATATCCAAAATTGATAATGAGAAATTGGATGGCATTTAAAGTTTAAATTTTTAAGTACTTCCTTTTTCATTTGTATACAATTGAAAAGAGATGAGATTCATTTATTATTTAGGGTAAGTTTAAATAACCCAAAGCTATTACATTTTTGAAAATTGAAATGTTGAGGGAAAATGTCTGAATTTCTGGAACTTTAGAGCATTCTTATGTAAAACTGAATAATGTAAATGCAACTCTAACTTATGTAGTCAAAGAAAAAAGTAGACGAGAGAAAAGGTAGACTAGAGAAGAGTGACTGAAAATTGATCAAGTTGATCAGTCAACTTAATTTAGATAATATGTCACCACAAACAAGGCCTTTCTGAACTTCTTCAACTAGTACATGTTTAAACATGTGTATTCATAACCTTTCTTGTCATTATAAATAATAAATAAGTACACACACCAATGACCCATTTGAGGACAGTATATATATGTTACAAGTTATTTAAAAATCCTCTATTGAGTTTTCTTACAAAATATAGCAATAGAAAACAAAAGGCAAATTATTACCATTATCACATAATCTATCTCTATGATGGAAGTAATTCAAATATAAATATTTTGTTAATATATTCTCAAATAAGTGTCTATCAGAGGATAGACTCCTCTCTATGTACCAAACTCAGCTCTATGTACCATATTAGGCTATGTTTGTTTGTTTAGTTATTTACTTATTTTTAAAGTGCATTTATTGATTTTGAGAGAGGTAGAGACAGTGCAGATGGGGGAGGGGGCAGAAAGAGGGAGAGAGAGAGTCCCAAGCCATGGGGCTTGAATTCACGAAAATGTGAGATCATGACCTGAGCCGAAACGCTTAGATATTATGTCATACTTAAAATGTCAACAGTTCATGCTACTCTGTGCATTGATAGGGCTACAACTTTTACTAGAATCTATAAGGAAAAAGTCAAACCCAGACAAACCTATGAAAACACAGCTACATATTGAGATAAAGATTACTGTATAGAAGTAAAATATCATGATAAATTTTCAATTGCCACAGATTACCTAATTTAAGAAGTAAAGTGAATTTTAACATTTTCTTCATCTGGTATAGAATGTTATTAGCAATTAAAAATAGGAAATTAGCATTTTGTAAGAATTTTAACAGCCTAGTGCTGCATATATGGCTTGTTGAAGAAGAAGAAGAAGAAGAAGAAGAAGAAGAAGAAGAAGAAGAAGAAGAAGGAGAAGGAGAAGGAGAAGAAGGAGGGGGAGGAGGAGGAAGAGGAGGAGGAGGAGGAAGAAGAGGAGGAGGAGGAGGAGGAGGAAGAGGAGGGGCTGGGGGAAGGGAAGGAGAAAGAAATCACAACTGGGTAATTGTTATCCAGACTTGTAGAGAATTAATGAAGTTTTAGCTACATACCTTGCAACTGAATCTTATTCTCAGGACTCTGAACCAGAACAGAACTGACAGAATCTAAGTTGTCATAGTTACTGCAGCCAAGAGGACCAGTCCGTGTTTCTGTTACCTGACAAACAAAACATCAACTTTACTATATAAATCAGACTTCACCATGTTCTTTTAGCTCAATGTAGCTGTCACACACTGATATTATATGTTTGACAGTAAACATCACTGAAAGGCATAGGATCTGATACATACCAACAATACACACACCTAAGCACAGAGAAGACAAATAACTCCCTTTGTCTTCAATTCCATTCTCTTTCCTTTGGCTAGGCATAAATCTTCTGGGAAAATAATAGAAAGCCCTTTTTGGTCAAAAGCATCACTCACCTAAGGTCATTGATTTTAACCAAGATATGACAAGGCCATGCCCCTTTAGATAGAGAGCAAGTTCTGACTCGTATGAGAATTGTTTTTTGTTTGTTCATTTTTCCTCAATAAATCAGACCCATCTGTCAGGCTACTGTCTAAAAACTGATTTTATTATTTTATTCTACTTAAAAATCTATAATTTTCCCATCTTTTATGGTGCCTTCGAAGTCCAAACTCTTTTGCTTGATTTCCATCTGTCCCATTTATCCCCAACACACATTAACTTGCTTTCCAGCTGGACATTCTTAATTCTATGCCTTTGCTTATACATCCTCCACCCCCGTCTTTCTTTTCTCCCCTTTGACTAACTTATTTTATCTCTCCTCAAGATTAAGCACATTTTCAAACACCCACACAAAATATTCCTTACTGACTTTCACTTGTATTTTTCCCATTTCTATAAAGTTGGGGTTTGTAGTGCTCAGCCATAGCACTTAATTATGGAATCACATGTTGCAGACTAATTTTTCCATGGGTCTCTTGGGATGTAGAGTATTAGGAGATGAGGAGGAGTTTAGGAAATAAAGAGAAATTAAATTTATCCTCAGGATAATTAAAAAAAAACATAGTTTGAAGCAGGGAAATATTGTGATGATCTTTGTATTTTTTTTTTGATCTTTGTATTTTAAAAAAAAGATACTCTCCACACAACAACCAGAATAGTTTCCAAAATTAATTCACATCATCTCATTTCACCATTCACAACTCCATGATGGCTTTCCATCTTACTGAGGGTAAAACCCAGAACCCTTCCTAGAACTAAACAAATGTCATTCTATCCAGTTATCCCTGTTACCTCTCTAAACTCATCCCCTCTCCTCTTTTCCTTGTTTACTCCACTCCAACTACACCTACCCTTTGCGAACATGCTAGTTATTTTCTGACCTTGGGATTTCTGACCTGCTGTTCCTGCATCTGGAATGCTCTTCCTCAAAATATTTATAAGCTCACTGTTTCACTTCTTTCAAGTTTTTGTTCAAATGTCACTCTCTTAGGACTACTTGGACTAGCCTATTTTCAATGAATACACCTTTCCACACTTCCCTCTTTGAACATTATTTCCTTTCCTCCTTACCTTGTTCTACTTTTTCCAAAGTAGTTTTCAGCTTCTAACATGCAGTATAATTTAATCGTTTATCATGATTACCGCTGACACCGCTCATCGGAATGCAAGTTCCACAAGTGCAGGAAATACTGCCTATTTTGTTCACTATAGTATCCACATCACATACTAGGTTCTTATATAAGCCCATGATGAAGTGAAAAAGAAGGGGACAGTTTGAGGGGGAAAATCATAACAAGGAAGACAGTAAGGTCGTTACTGAGATGATAAAGCCTGAATAAAGCAGTGGCAATAACATTTGTCTGAAGAAGACAGATTATATAAAACAATTGGACCTGGCAAGATTAGGAAACACTGAAAATATACACAGTGGAGGGAGGAAAAGGAAACTGAGGTTTCGAGCATAAGTGATAGCATTATGATATGTTGCAAATAGGGTCCACTGTGGAGAACATGTAAGAGAATTTGGTTTTGAGCATTCTGACTTCTGAATGGAATAACATTTTCAACCAGAAACATCCAGTAGGAGTAACAGTGCAGCTCTATTTCTTAGAAGTTATGTCAAAGATGGGATTACTAACTTGGGAGTCAAACACTTACAGGTAATAATCAAAGACAAAGGGATAGACATGTCAGCTCAGATGCACTGAGTGAAGGTATAATTTGTACCATTACAGCTCTATGATATTTTGTAACAAGTCCTTTAGAACAATGTATATTGACTATGAGTACAAAGCAATAGTTGAGAATGCAGTTTATCATGCGCAAAGCAATACTTTTTCCCTAACATCACACCAACTTTGTCTACTCCCCACCACTCTATTCCAATGGTGATACTGACCATCCCTTATTTTTTTCAGGGAAATCATATCTAATGTTGATATGTATAGCATACATGTATGAGTATGAGTGTGTATATACACATGACATTTAAATATAGATGATTAACAAAAGGGTAAAAGAAGGATTAAAGCCATCAAAGGAAATACTTAAGGTTTCATGTAACTTAAATCTTCATGTTGTCCTATCATGTAGTTTAACTACTGTCCACCAACACACAGACACAAAAATAATAGAAACAAATTCCAGCATTTGTCATCGTAAGGAATTTTTAAGAAGTAAAATTGGCTGGGGCACCGAGGTCGCTCAGTTGGCTAAGCGTCCCACTCTCGGTTTTACCTTAGGTCATGATCTCACGGTTTTGTGGGTTTGAGCCCTGCATCAGGCTGTGTGCTGACAGTGCGGAGCCTGCTTGGGATTCTCCCTCTCTCCCTCTCTGTCTGCCCCTCCCCTACTCACACTGTCTCTGTCTCTCCCAAAATAAATAAACTTAAAAAAAAATAAATAAATAAAAAGAAAAAAGAAATAAAATTGGCTTCAAGCACACGTTTATTGAGATATGAGATCTTGGAATTTAGAAAGCAATCTTCTGACACTTAACTTTTGAAAGAAGATAGATGGTAGTATTCCATCTCTTTACAGACCTTCAGTTATGTGAAGTTACTGTGTTTTTGAGAATAAATTCAGGAAATTTAAATAATGGGTTTATAAATTTAGAAGTTTGAATACCTTCCTATATCGACAGATTGATTTAATCTCTTGCCTTTCACAATATACAATAATAAAAATCTAGCAGATCCTATTTATAATTTTATTATTTTTTAATTATTATTTGTTTTTGAAAGAGGAAAAGGGAGCACAAGCAGATTCTGTCCTGTCAGTGCACACACAAACCTATGAACCAAGAGATCATGAACTGACCTAAAACCAAGGGTCGGAAGCTTCACTGACTGAGCCACCCAGGAGCCCCAGTTTATCATTTTATTTTGTTTATTATCGCTCAAAAGTGAATTCGCTAATACGTTTCTGATCTAATATAAAAGTTCACAAACTCTAGCACAGTCAAAATGCAAACCTCTTATTTTCAATGGTTTCATATTCAAGGCTCTTACATGTCTTATTAGTGTCAACATTAATAAATGCATCCATCCTTGTTTCTTTAATACTATCAACGAAATGAAATGAAAAGAAACTAATAAAAGCCAATTTATTCTATAAGCATTTCTATAGATATATTAACTCTACCAAAAATGAATTATGTGGTGGTACCACAAATAGCTTGAACTTCTATTCATCAGCTGATAGATGAACATCTGGTATAGAGGTCTTCATATATAATCTAAAAATGGAAGAGTGATTAAATAGATAAACATAACAATGAGTAAGACTAAAAAAAAATGAATACCGACTGACAACAATGCAGTACTGATAGCTTTCAGTGTTTTGAGAACTGTGATATCGAATGAGAAAATATTTTTTTAAATTTATTTTATTCATCTATTGGAAGGAGGATGTTGAAAGCAAGGGAATGTAGTCCTTAGTATCCAAAAATGATGCCCTCTCTGAGGTGTCACAGTGGTTTGTGATTGTATCTGAGCACTATGAAGAAAACTGTATGTGTTTGTGGAAGTTGAAGGACCAGTGTGGAGTAGCAAACACAGAAGAGGCGACTTTACCAGGAGTAGAAAGAAAAATCGAACCTTCTGAACGTATTTAGGACAAATATGTCTTCAAAATATAACAAATGTGGTGTTTATTTCTATCATTGACTTATGTGAACTGTGTTTTATTTAAAACAATTTTTTAAATGCTTATTTTTGAGAGAGAACAAGTGGGAGAGGGTCAGAGAGAAGGAGACAAAGGATCCGAAGCAAGATCTGTGCTGACAGCAGGGAGCCTGATATGGGGCTTGAACTCACAAACCACTGGATCATGACCGGAGCTGAAGTCAGAGACTCAACAAAGTGAGCCGCCCAGGTGCCTCTATGCAGGTTGTGTTTTAATATATCGTTAAAGATCAGAGCGGATACAAAAGATCCTTTCAATTTTTCCTATATTGTTCCTATGTTGTTGCAATAAACTACTGCTTACTATTTTCACAGTTGGGAGAATTTTACAGTCTAAAAGAAGAATATAGAACCTTCTTAACTCAAAGAAATTCCTTGGAAGTAATTATATTAACCAATAGTATAGAGTCACGTTAATTTAGATTAAAATAAAATGGTACAAATATTTCACTCGGAAATAAACCATCTTTATGATTTTCTATCAAATTTCTCTACAGTTTTACATAGTCTAAAGATGATATAATGCCACAGCGATGCCGTGGAGTAATAAAATCAATTCAATGAGAACTAGTTGAAGAAAAACTATCTGAAGCAAATTTTTTAAAATATTAAAACAGTGAAGAAAATGGGACAAAAGAGCAAACACACAAAAAAACATGCCACATTCCTAAACGAAATTGCACTATTAAGAGTCCATCATCTTCAAAGTCAGGCATTACATATTTAAAATATTTGCAGTCAAAATCATAATAATGTTATATATTTTGAAGAAAACAGACTTAAATGAACATGCCCAGGTCACTACTGTAGCTCCACCAACTTAAGCTATTTAAGCTTCAAGTTTCTATTGGGTGGAATGACTAAAATTTTCCTAGAGCACAGTGTGCTTGGGAAACAAAAATGAGGTGACCCATAAACAGTGCTTACCATGTGCCTGGGCCACAGTAATTATTTCAAGGTAAATGTAAAGTATGTGTAAATGTTTACTATTAAAAAGCA